ATCACCTTCAATGCCTTTGCAAGGTGTCAAGCTTGCGATGACGTGCTTGTCGCTTGCAGCATTTGCCCACCAGCCATTTCTGTGAGGTGTCCCCTTCACATACTAAAGTGGCGGATTACTGCTCTCGCCAACCCAATGTCGAACTCGTATACATGCTCCAGTATGTCATGGACAGGATCTAACTGGCCTCAATCGTGGGTTGCTTTTTGAGAGACGGCATTTGTGCCCCCGGACGTAGGTTATTCATCAAGCATGTCTTACCTTTTAAATCAGGCCCTCGTCTCCTGCCGCTCTTGGTCTGGAACTGCTTATTGGTTAGTCGCAGCTAACCTACCGGAGTAGGCCGATCGCGAATGGATTACTTGCATCCTTTTTTCCGTTTATAAGAGGCTCTACTTGGGCTTATCATATTCGAGTGAGAGGAAATTTCTTTGTTTTTTTTCATTTGCGAATGAAAAGCAGCGGAAATTTTTTTGTCGATCGCTTTCAGAGTGTGAGAGAAAATAAATTTGTTTGCAGTTTTCACTCAGGACAAAAGAATGCTAAATTAATTGTGGAATATTCTTGATCGCGAAAGTGACAGAACGTGAGTGAGGATTTCCGAACCCTGATCTTAGTATTAAAGGCTGCACTTTTGACAGGCAGCTTTTTTCACTGTCCTGAAAATATTTTACAATGGATTACGAAAAAAGGATAGCAGGTTCATTTTACGACTCTAGTAAACATTTTGGTAAACGCATAATTCACATAAACCGTCTTACGTAAAGCAAGAAAAATTCAGAAATACCTAGTAGAAATGTAAAAAGATGTAATCACACTGCTCGTTGATATAGTTCAGGATAGTTTCGGGACAATTTCGGGACTTTTTTGGCTATTAATTTGGACAAGTTCGGGACTTTTTTAAGTTCGAGATTGGGTAAGGAAATTTCCGTGACTAGGTCGGTAAACAGATGTCCTTTTGTTTCAGGATTTCATATAATATAACCTATTTAAAGCCTAAGTCCTTTTTTAAATATTTTGGTGCCAAAAATTTAAAAAAAAAATTTCGCCTTTAACTTTCTACTTTCCCTGCAAACCAAAGTTCACGAAATCTTCACGAATTTAGGAGTATCTAACTTCTGTAACGATTTTTTTACGAATCTTTAAAGAAAGTTTTATAAAGTGGTTGACACGAACTCGTAAAGAAATTTCTGTACGAAAATTAAAGAAAATTCTGCAAGAAGTTCTTCACATAGCAGCATTATTTTCATTGCTTTACCGATTTTCCTGCGTAATTTCGTAAAATATCGAAGTATGTATAATTAATTTCATTTTAGGGAATTCGGCACAAATCAGATGAGATCTTGACGAATGCTTTGAAATTTCTCTACAATTCAGAATACTCTGAAAAAATGGTTTAGAGGGTTATCATTATTTAGTTGTATGCATACATGTATAATTTTGTGATTGAATTGAATATTGAAGCTCAACGTTTACTGAAACATTCGTTGAGTTTTTATTTTTTTGTTAAAAAAAATAAGCTTCATAAAATCAATAGCGCTTAACCCACTAAACTTTCATGATGCCCATATCAGAAATATTTCTATGAAAAAGTCTATGAATACAGTTATACAGTGGTACATACTAATACATTCACAACCGTTTCACATGCCAAATATTTTATACATAAATAGGCACATCCAATGGGCGGCTCTGTTAATAACTACTACAAAAAAAACTCTTTTCATATATTTATGTACACATGTGGTATGAGTATTTTATTAAACAACTTCCTACCTTCAAATTATTACAATTCCTGAAGCGGTTGTAAGCGTACATACTTACATACATACATGCTTACAAACATACATTTTTAAATTATATTTTTATCGTATTTTTTTTTTTTTGTTTTTGCGAAGCAACCGGAATGATTGAAGCGGTTATTGCACTTTTAAAATAAATTTCAATTACACTTTATAGCAACTTCCGGCTTCTACATTCGCTCATCTGAGTATGCTTTATGCCGTCGCGGCATTTTCAATAAAACTTTTGGCTTTGCTACAAAAGTTTAGCCCGCAGCAATACGCATTCTTGCCTTTGTATAAATATTTGAGTATATGTATATTGGTGCGTATGGTTGTTGTAAAAGCCCAGTGTGGCAGAAACTTTATTCAACAAATGCAATTATTCACATACGCTTCATTGAATTTTGTTCAAGAGAAAAAATAAAAAGATGTGCTGGCGTTAAAAGGCGGCAATGGCAGCCAGCAAAAGCTGACAGGAAGACGTTATTCGTAAAGGCGCTCGTAAGCGTATCTATTGCGAATAAATTGAGATAAATGGCTTAAAAGGCGATGATTGAAGCTGCGGAAGCAAAACTATTCAAAATATACTTAAGACTTTTTTATTAGTTACAAGTACGGGGCGTTCCACGCAGACATAGATGTCTGGGACACAAAACGGCATTGAAGCTTCCTTTTATTCGATTCTGCTTTTAGTCTTCCTCTTGCTATTTGCAACTTTTTTCCGTATTTGTTATCGGGTTCGTCATCGTAATCCTCTTCTATTCGCCGTCGGACGCGTATTCGTATTCCCCTACACCTATAATATTTTAATATGTGTACCAAACGAGAGAGACTTAAGACACATTTATTTCAAAATATTTTTGAAGAGTGTTGCCACCAGTTAAGAAATTCATAATCAATTTAGTTAAGAAGTTAAATGAAAGATTTTAATATTGGTATTAAATGACAGAGGGTTAAGAAAGATTTCTTTCGTAAATATTTTTGAAAAGAGTTGACGCCAGTTTAGAAATTAAAAACCATTTTCTTCGACAAGGTAAATGAAATGTTTCAATATACATAGGTGTCAAACGGGAGAGGTTTTAGTAAGCTTTGAGGATTTGCAAAGCCCTGCAACAGTATAAAAAGTATAAAACCGCTTTTTTGGAGAGATCGCCTAAAGGTTTCAAGAGAGAGCACATAATGACAAAGCTCTGAGATTAATTGAGGTTAAACTTTTCTCAGTGGTGGGGAAACGGATGCGAGATTTCGGCTCGCCCACTCCGCAACGAACGGCAGTACTCTCCAAGAAGTTATTCCGGGAATTGGATTATAACACCACGAAATTGGAGGCTCAAGTCACCAAACCAGAATCTAAAGCAAAGGCAAATTTCCCATTAAATTGTGAACCGCGTGAAGAGTGGTGAAGGGGGCCTTTCTCGGATGCCCCAGGGGGAACTGGCAAGATATTTCTGCTACTGCTACTGCTACTGCCACAGCTGCATAAGGATAAAAGTGTTGCACTAGCGATTACATCCTCAGCGGAGGTAGAACTGCACACTCGATGTTTAAACTCCCTCTGAACTTTGCTAGTCAGGATGCACCGAATTGCAACATTAGCAAAACAGGGTGTCGGGGCTATGTTAGTAGTTTGCGATGACTGTACGATGCCACACAAGCACGCAGTCGAGGCACTCGATCGAAGCTTGCAAGATATCCGCAGCCGATCGTTGATGGGTGGGGTAGTGGTATTGCTCGCAGAAGACTTTCGGCAGACGCTACCTGTCATCGAGAAAATGAGGATGCAACAACATATCCTATCCAGTTTATAAACTCTTAAAAATTGGCAGGGGTGCCGTCGCACAAACTGGTGCCAGTCATATTGTTGCTTAACCTGGATACACCCCGTTTATGCAATGGCAGAAGACTATGCATAACGGAGCACAAAACGCCAAGCCATCATCATCACTGACGGGGCCAAAGGACAATCAATAGTGATACCATGAATTCCTAACAGATATGCCATTTCATTTCAAACGTTCGCAGTTTCTGTTAAAAGTAATCCTCGCGATAAAGAGTTATAAAAGCCCAGGACAAATACCTAAAGTTGCAGGTACACATCTGAGCACTCCATGTTTCTCGCACGGACTACGTTCGCTGCTCGTGTGATCGAGGGCCAGAAATTTATACACATCCCCAAGACAATAAATCCCGAAACGTTGTTTAAGGAGGATGTGGGAGAATGATCTCAACATTTTTGTTTCAGCCACCCAGTTTTTATGAGACTACGGTGTAAATGCTTCGGATCGCATCTTGTAGCTAATCAATTGGTGCTCTCTGAGTTTGAAATCTGCAGACATCGAAGGTTAATTCTTTGTATACAATATTTTTCGAAAGAGGTTAACAGTTACCGTCCATAGTCGTATCACAAAGGACAGATGCGGATCTTCGGATAAACTACATATATCAGATATTTACGGACAGATGTTTGATAGCTGGGCTTTGATGAAGCACTTCATTTGTTAACTAATCTCTGAACAAGTTTTGACTAAAAGGACTTGTTCATTCTTAATCAAATCGACTAAAGGGTGTTCGTTTATAAATATTATAAACAAAGGAACTGTGAAGCGGACTCTTCCCCCTTCATTATTGCGGTGGCGAACATGTAATTTTGCATATCTGGTTTCTTTTTCCTATGTGAAAAGGTCGTGGATAAAACTATTATTTTTGTATTTTTACCAACAATTTTATAAACATTTTCCCTAAAACTATTTTTAAATAAATAAAACCTACTGTCTTGAAGAGTTTTTAATAACAATGAAAACGAAGGTTGAATTGTCAAAATCGGTCAGTTAGATTGTCTGTAATTGAATTCAGAATTAAAAAGGACAAAGGGAAAAAACATTTGTCGATATATAAGATTTTTTTTTGTAAAATCAAAGTTAGGAATTTGTTTGCATTGCCAATAGCTATAAAAAATACCATTGCTGCTGGGAAATAAAATATCACGTATTTAATTGAAGTGGCCCGTTTAAGAAATGCTGACTCAAATATATTTTTAGAATAACTCAAAGCAACCAACAATACATTTCTCGTGGAATTTCCCCCAATTCAATGATCACCTCTACCTACTTGCTATTTCCCGTAGGCATGTTGCTTCCTTTTAGTTTCCTACACTCATCGCATTCAGTCACTTTGTAGACCATTTTTGTAATCATAAATTCCATAAATTTTACTTACTTCTTGAGTGTGGCAGCCAATGCTAGATCGGGTCGAACATCAAATCGTGTTTGCATATAGAAACGCAATAAATTATCGCGTTCATTTTCACGTAATCCTTCGTCGAGTGCTAATGCGCCCAGCGTGTGATATGATTCGGACTCGGTGACGCCAAATAATAAATCATAGCTGTAATGGAAATGCCAATGGCAAGTCGATGAGTATAAATGCATAAAAACATAGATACATACTTATGTAGATAGAAATATTAGAGCATGCAACCCATGCATATGTTTGTGTAGTTGTAAGTACAGAAATGCGTATAATTAAAATGCCTGAATTATTCACATATGTACATACGTAAGCACCAACACACACACACAATAGCACAATAGACCTACCCATACCGGTCGCAGTGCCTTACCCAACGAACTATCTATCCATCTATCTAAGCATCAACACGAGTGCCACACCTTAAGCTGATTGTGCGCAAACATGCAGCGGAATGGAGGAGCGATGCGGTTAGTGTTATTACCTACTATAAATAAATAAAGCTTAGATATGTAAATTGCTCGTGCTTGTGAGAAGTGGCATTAACCCGACTATAGAGTAACAGCAACAAAAGTGATAGTGAAATCAACACAACTACACTAATACCATGAACCTACTCCAAAATAATGCACCAAACTAAAGGCCAAGAACAACGCTAATACGTGCAACCAACAATCAAGTGCCATTTTAACCACTGTTAAGCCCAAGATCCATTTACCTAAATAGCTAAGGTACATACATATGTATGTGAATTTCCTTTCTATGCGCATAATAGCATCTACAGGGACTCGAAAAAATTATCACGTGTTGATTTTTTTTTAATATTCGTAACGTTTTGGAGCTATTTTTTTTTGCTATTTTTCTAAAAAAATCCTGTCTAAGCTTTAAACAAAACTATTTAACAAAAAACAATTTCAAACTTTGTAAAAGATTTAGGAAAATTCAACGAACTTTCATAAAAATTTTAACTTTTTAATCTGAATCCGGCTAAAAAATCGGGCTGATTTTTGATTTTTTTTTTTTGATACTGCTTTTGCGGTTTTTAAATACAACAAGTGCAATTTACAAAAACTGGCGTTGATATTTTGAAAATTTGAAAAAGTGCAAAAATCCATCACCAAAAAAAGTCTCAAAAATCAACCCTTTGAAATTTGCACTTCATTATTCTAAAATTGTATGGGCTTTAGAACTACATACCCAAAAATAAAAAATTTGAATTTTGAAAAAAAATCGTTGAACTTTCGTAAATTTTTGTACAAAATTTGAAACTTTGATGTATATGGGTTTAGTGGTATTTTTTTATAAAATTAACAAAAATAAATAAATTAGCTCGAAAAGCATTGCGAATGATAAAAAAAATCAACACGTGGTAAATTTTTTGAGTCACTGTATATGTATGTATGACCGTGTAAATTCAAATCCTTTCCATAGTTTCTATATATCTATGCATGTGTCCACATTCGCCTGCCTGCCTCTGATTATTTACCTCAGCTCACTGTGGCTTGTTAGCAAATACGCAAGCGTTAATAGCATATAATGGATGCGGTAAGTTTCGGCAAACGATAGCAATACATCGAGTCTTTCGCGCCTTCACTGATTAATGATAGTTGTTTGCCAGGCTTAAGTAAACTACTTAATTTTGCGTCAAGCAAAATAAACAAAAGAAGAATTTTGGTGGCATCTACGCGCTGCTGGATTTTTGGGTGCAAACCGCATAGTTGCGTATGTACGTAGAAGGGATAAAGGACATGTGGCAATTTCTGCATGGCCTGTTAAACTATTTATAGTTAGCGGTAAATGCAAAAAAAAATGTTGTGAACACAACCGGTAAGGATTGGGGCTGATTAATAAAATTTTATGTACATTTTTTTTGTAATAATCAATTTAGAATTGAGATGATTATACATATGTGTATACATACAGGTATATATGTGTTTATTAAGGAGATTACACATTTTCTTCTAAGGCCTCAAAAAAGGATTGAAAATATAGGGACTCATATTTGTGTATATTACTAGTACGTCGAGGGAAAGAGAATATAGCTGTTTAATTTTCAATTTATCTCACTCAAAAATTAACCATCTCAGTCTAGTGGAAGTCAGACAGCTGCACAGAAAAAATGTTCTGTAATATCGCCATTATTCAGGCAAGTTGTGCTAAGTGGGCCGTCGAAATAAATAAATAAATAAAAAATAATAAACATATTAAATTTTTTCAACTAATATAAATGCAAAGCACAATTTCGTTGTCGCTTTTGCCATGCAATACTTATACAACTCCGTTATTCATCTTCAACAAAAAAAAGCATTCGCAACTGCATGCGTGTCACACTTCAGTGCAGTGTTACTCAACTGAAAGTATATATTTTTCATGAAATTGTATATAAACGACTGTTACGAACCGACTGAAATGTTCTGTATATTGTCCCATCACTTTGTATGGTTGATTTGGTATCACATGGCCATCCACAATTGGACCCAATGAAGTTGAAAATTGGGGAAATGATGTTGGTATTTTTAAGATGTCCTGATAGCTGAAAAAATAAAAAATAAACACAAGAAAATATACTGTGAATTGTATTTAAAGAAATGTAAGTATTTATAAATAAATAAAGTAAAACGAAATATCAGTGCATTCGTATGTAATATGTATGTATATGAATTCAAGAGCAAGCAAATAAGAAAGGCAGAAACAGTCAGCATTAATATGCTTTTCGTGAATGAGCAAAATAAATAGAACAAACGATATGAAAAAGTAGCATAGTAAATATGTATGCAAAATTTATGATAAACTAAGTTTATTGCTCTATTTCCGCGCCACAGTTGATTGCGTATACGCCATTTATATCCACACATACATGCTAGTATGTATGTAAATATGTCCGTATGTACATACAATGGTACGATCACCCACAATTCTTGCACAATATAAACGTTATAATAAAGCTGTGTATTTCATTGCGGCATAAAGTAAAATGGGGCGACGTGCAACTAAATCTTTTATTTTCTACTTAATGGCATTTCAACTGAATGCACCCGTTATTGTGTGGGAAAACGTGTGTACGTATATACGTATGTATGTATGTGTATGCGCATTGAGGAATTGAGTTACCTAAAGAAATGTGAATATAAAAGCAATCGGTGAAAGTAACTTTTATCAAAACGGGTCGATTTAGTTAGTCTCATTTTCAACGTAGGTGTACGTAGTTACGTATTTACATTTGAGCACACAGCTGTGGTAATTTTCATATCAAATTCAAATATGCACAGCATAAGTTAAAGAGACTATCAGCAATTGTGTGTAAAATTTAAAAAATTGAGTCTTTAAACAATAAATATGTAGTTCAAAATTAGTCAGAAAAATTAATAAAAACTAAAGCTTCCCTGTTGACGTGACCTAGTTGAGCAGGCAGTAGACTACTTTCCTGTTGGCTGATATCTTCGCATGAAAACTGATATGAAAGGCTAACGAACCCTCGATTGGTCCTTCCAGCCATCCATTAAAAGAGTGCTAGTGCTTTCTTCCAGCTTGTCTCCCGTCCACTTGAAATCATCCAACAATACTAGATTTCCCAAGTTCAGAGTCAAATATATTATAATCTCTTAGCAACTTGAACTATGAAATCGAAGAATGCGATTTAAGAGTGAATTTAGGTGCCACAGTGCGAATGGGCCTAAATAACATACGGGGTGGTCCAATTTATACACCCTCCTCCCCAGACGAAATCGGCAGTTTTTTGATCCTTTTAACTATGTATAAAAATTTGTTTTTATATATATTAAATTATTGTTTATAATCCAGTCAGTGCATTCTGTTGCAATCAGAGACACAAGATTTTCCGAGGCTCTGAATTTCGCGGAAGATGATATGCATATCTAAATATATGGTTTTGAAAACTTTGAGATTTTGTTCGCCAAAAATTAGTACAGCCACGGAAAATGCAAACAACTTTATGAAATTTATTAAACTGTTTTGAATTATTTTGAAAATAAATTTGTTTCGGCGGTAAATATATGGAGAAGATTAGCGGATGGTTGGAAATTCATAAACCGTTTTTTATGCACTTGACGTAAGCGTAACTTCGATATTCAACTTCAATATACATACATACAATTTGTGCGATATTATTTATTTATCTGGATTAAGGTTTGAACTCGAAACTCGACCAACTAACTAACATATTTTGTAGGCATCAATCTATTATCTTTATTATTATTCCTTCGTACATCAATCCACTCTCAGGATTATATAGCAAGAGAAAGGAACGCGCACTAGCTCCGTGGATCTGTATCTTCCGAGGTATAACTTCGGAAAAACATATGAAATGCCGCTGTGAAGGATTTAATAATATATTGGCCCTTACACAAAATGTTATCTAGTGTTTGGCCGAGCTTCTTTGTCCCATTTGTTTAGAACTTAATAGCCAAAAATATCACTTCCTAAGAACAGCGTACCTAGAGAAATACGACCTAATAGCATTCAACTAAGGAGCCCCGCGGTGCTCCTTAAAGCTGCGAAGATCAAAGAAAACCTCTAACAAAATAAGGAGAAAACAAATTTGCTACAAAAGATAAAAAAAAAGATAAATAATAGTCTATTAATTAATTTATGTAGGTAATCTCTATCAACACGCCGGCAAGCAAAGCAAGTGGGTTATTATGCTTGCAAACTAGAATTGGATGCTTAATATTTTTGTTCTTTTGACCTGCCTACTTCCAAAAAAAAAAAACAACTACATCCCGAAACAGCATAATATCTTAGATATCTCCAGCACACTTTTTTAAGTTTTTATTTCTCCTCCACAACATATTTTCCGAGAATGTACATACATATATCTATATGTATGCTGGCCACATATTGAATTGCGTGCATTAATAGTGATCCACAAAGCATATTAAGCTCGTACCACTTTTTTTGTATGCTGTAAGGATAAAGGAATATAGGTATTATACGATTTTGTGTATATGAGACAATTTAAAGCGAAAAATACCCAACATGTGCTTACCAAGGCATTTAAAAACAAGGAGACCAAAAAGTTAAAATAAAATCTTGCGCCAACAGCAGTACCTATGGTGGCAATTAAAAAAAAAAATTATGATATGAGAAATTCAACAAACAGCCGGCTGACAATAGAAATAACTTTTTTAGGAGAAGTTAGCGGTAGCCAAAAATATTGCCCAAGGCTGAGTGATGTGTATAAATTTCCAAATCAATGCAGTTACATTTAGTTTACAAAAACATAGATTCTTATGTGCTAGAGAGCTGATTAAACGATTTGAATGTATGAGCTCTTCTCAACGGTCTGGCAGCTACCGTGGGAATTGTGGTAGATTCCCAAATAATGTGGTAGATTTACTTATGATGTTTTCGTTTCTACCAAAAAATTTTGTCTTTAAAATTCGATTCTAAAAATAAAGACGAACGCTGAGAAAACTTTGTGTTCGTTTCCTAAAATGTCGCAATATATTAAAGCAGAAAAGGCAGGCAGGTTGCTTAGAAAATTAGATCGTTGCTTAAAACCAAAATATTAAAAATGTAGCAAATACCTGGCGTACTTCACTGCAGTACTTTTTGTGTCGTTTCATACCCGTATTTTAATATTTTGACACCAGGGTATACACCATTGAAAATCGAAATGACCTACCTAAGGCCCATCACACAACCGAGGGTTAAAAGCGCCTGCCTATTAATTAATTTCAAATTCATGCAATTTTTGTTTGTATTCTCTTTTTTCGTTTTTCCGTTTAATTAACTCTTTTTATTTAAAGGCAGATTACAAGTCTTTTAAGTAAATACGTGGATTATTTGAGCACTTTGAGTAAGTGATGTGAAGTATAGCGAATATATATCAAATGTTTTGAACACCTTTTTAAAACCATTTATACAGCCCTCTAATATGTGCGTATATACTACACGTATGGATAGAGTAAAGCTTAAAATGACAGTCATTAAAAATATATGTACATATGTCTTATAAAAGAGAATTCATAAAATATCCAAAAGCAAGCACTAAACCAGTGCAGAGCTCTCAAAAAACTGACGACGACAAGACCATATGAGTGATGGGAAAGAGTAAAAAACCAAAAAAATTGCAGTGACCAATAAACCATAAATCACGTTTGACTGCATCAACAAAAGCTGACCAAGATATTAAAGGAAAAGTAAAATATTCTGCATAAAAAAAACTTGCAAAAATCTGAAATAAAATCCGCTCTGTGTGTTAGTACTTACTACGAAAGCCAAACAGAATGTTTAAGGTATTAAATTTGTGATGAAGGACTTCATCTTTAAATCTATTTTAACGCACAATAATGGTAACGTAGAGCATTTTGCTTCATGCAGGAAGGAATAAGTATTCAAGCGAATATAGCACCTCAATCAAGGAATCCCAGTTCGCTCTAAAAACTGCATGTAGACATAACTTAATCTATGCAAGTTTACTGTAAACTGTTTTCTAAACTATCCTTTAAAAAAAATTAAAAAGAAATTGGTTTTCCTCTATTGAGTTATTATTTTGCTTACTAATAAGCTATTTAGTTATAAAATATTGCATGTCAAGGATAAGCTGACGTTCCTATGCTGCTGTTTGACTTCGCTATAGAATTTCTATTTCCTACTATTTCTCTTTTTCGTAAAGCAATTTTTCGCTTCTTGTTGGCTCAACTAAAAAAAAATTAGGAAAAGCTCGCTTTCCGCGTAAATTTAAGCGCGTGAAATAAAATTGAATTTTGTATAAACTTCCAAGCTGTCATCTATCAATTGCGTGTGACTACAAAATGATAGAAAATGTTCACACCAAATCCTCTACAGTAGGTACCTATGATGTAAGCTGCTGTAATATGTATGCGCAGCTAATGTTGTGTGAAGAGAATAGATTTTCACGTAGTCTTTAGAGATGTAGATGTTTACAAACAATCAAAACTTCGCCATTTAAACGTGTAAGATGGAATGCGAAGAGCAGAAATGTCAATATTGTGGGCTGGGTTTAAACCTTTTACGCGAAGCCGAAAAAAAAATTATTCAACGCCTAGAAGGTTGAGCTAAACCTTGCCAACAGAAAGCTAACAGTTTCTACTTAAACGTTATTTTAGTAAAAACGCTCTAAAAATTAACCATTACCTTCTTCTTTTCCTTATTTATAGCCGCTACCGAGTAACGTATACGTCCTAGACATTTGTTTAAAATTGCTGTAAGGAAAAGCGATACTCTTAATAGCACAACCTTCATACAGCAAACGTTGGCCTAAGTACTCGATATGCTTTACATGAAGTCGTGAGTCTAATAGAATAATCCTATGAGTGTCAGCGCGAACGACGTATTACAAGAAATAAATAGAGGAGACGTCAAATTTATGCCGGACGTGGATGTTGTGCTATCAGCAGCTACAGGACTAATCCTTTTAACCTTTAGCGAAATACTTGAAATAATACTGGGAGGTCTATACGTCTGGGCTGCAAATAAGCGACTCAAATGTAAACCCAACCAAGACAGACTTTATCATATATACAAACAGCAACAAATTACGTCACTATC